GTTCATCTGTTTCATTCTTCTTTTTTGTTTTCTTCAAATTGAGAAACATGTCCAGAATCGATAAACTTCTTGGAAAGTTCAAGGATATCTCATGAAGACGTTTTAGTGTTCTGGCCCAATCGATTTTTTTTTTATAAAGGCTATCATTATTTTTGCAAATTTTTGCGTAAACTTCGCAGAAAAAAATAAGTCGCAACATTCATTCGATTTGGTGTACGTTTAATGAAAAATGAAAATGTTCTGATGGCGATATTCATTCCATTCCTAAATGAAAAAAAATATGAATAAAGAATGATGATAGGAGGAAAGAAAATGATAAAATAGTGATAAAATACTGAATCGAAGTTTTGATTAATGTATTGTTGAAGTTCAGTTTTGACGAGCAGTTGGCGTTCGTTTAATGAGCACACATATAGACAAATCGTTTTGGTTGAGACAGTGGACAGAATGTAATGAGAAATATGAGATGCAAGGTTCTGCAGTGCTGACTTTGTTAATAAAACTTTTATAAATGCTGCAAGAACATACATATTCGTTGGTCGAATCGATTATTCGTATAGTTTAGTGTTTGTGTGTTTTATTGTCTTATCAATAGCGTTCGTTGCGTGCCTATACTCGATGAATGTGTCCACTTATGTCATTATGTCCTTACGAATGCGAAATAATCTTTCGGAGGGGATGAATTCCTTCCATCAGCTTTTATTTCATGTATGGATTGATGCGTCACCATCATAGGTCATTTTCGTTCGGTAAGATAGGACCAGTTTTTCTTAGAGGGATGTTGATAATTTGGCAAAAAGTTTGTTTATTAAGTGTAACTTATTTTTTGTAATTTTTAGTACTGGCACAGGGGTACTAAAATTGATAGCCGTCTGATTGAATTTCAGTTTTGCGAATGGTCGTACGGCAGGGCTTGTGCTGGATAGTGGAGCGTCTCAGACAGCTGCCGTACCGGTATATGACGGTTACTGCGTTAGTCATGGTTAGTGATGATTCTTAAATGTTATCGGTAATGATGACAGCACGGATACGATTAATAGTAATAATCGTAATGATAATGAGGTGATAGAAAAAGCGATAATAGTAATAACAATGATTATATGCCCATGTACAAGTGTCCTGATCGTTAGAGACACCGAAGAAGGTTTCATCGTTCAAGTGATAAAAATTAAATTACCGTCTTATATTTTCATGCGAAACTGAATAATCGAATCCGATTCAAAGTTTCACTTCGTTGTTTCATTATTTCAAGTGAGTTGACTTTGTAAGAATGAGTAACATTCGGTGTGATTCAGCTGTGGTGCGATCGCCAATCGGTGGTGACTTGATCGCTGAACAGTGCGGAATTATGTGCGACGAACAAAAAATTGAAGTCGTACCCTCATACAAAATCGCATCACGGGTTCGTTTCCTCTTGAAATATCGTATTCGTTGTGTGACTGATTGAAAAGTTTCATTAGATATTATTATTATTAGGAAAATTCCGTTAGATATTATTTGAAATCGTTAATAGCGTGAATGGATATTCACTTCATTGGACACTGTAGTTTTTGGTTCGGTATTTGTTCGATAAGAGTGCCGTTCAGTTGCCTGTCAACGTTAAGATTCAAGAAGGTAGACTACCTTATTTAATTGATCTTTCAGTTACCTGTCAACGAAAATGAGCCTTCAGTGTGGACGCAGAAGAAAAATTTACCGGAAGTGACGAAAAGTTTCGAAAATTATATGCGTAAGGTTCGTACGGTTTTGTCAATCGTTGATACGTTATGATTGGTGTTATCCTCAGATTACATCATTGATATGCAGAGTGTATTCGTGCAATGAGTAATATTGTTTAATAAAAGATAACAATTTTCAGCAAGTCCTTGAGGATCTAGCTATTTCGGTATTGCAGTGCTGCGATACACCAATTGATGTGGAGTATGTTTTCGTTTGGTGATTTCAGTGACATTGAATGAATTTTTTTGTTATTTCACTGGTTACTTTGTCGAAAGTTATCGATGAAACCGGAAATTTTTGTCGTAAAAGTAATAAACCAGAGCTTTATATAAATTCTCAAGTTCTGTGTATCAGCACAATTTGAAGTCCACTTGCATTGATTTCCGTCGATGTCTCATTTTGAAGATTTGTTTGTTGAAGATTCGCTGAGAAGTTACCCTCTTCACCGTTCTGTTTCCCGTGTGGTTTCAGTCGAGAATTTCAAGCAGATCGTATCAAAATTCCTGAAGGTCTTTTCGATTTGAATTATTTGAAGGTTAGTGTATTTCACGTTTTACCAGCTTCCACTATTCAATATTTGCGTACGATGAGGTGAATGAAGAGGAGTTTCCTATGATTAATTAATTGTAAGTGAATAATTCGAATGGAAAAATATGGGAAAAGATTACGTTTGATAAAGCTTAATTAGCAAATTGAACTGATGACATTTCAGTTCTTCTTTTGGGATAATTCAAGAATTGCATATTGGTTATTTGATAGAATTTTATTAAATGACATCGATTGAATAATAGTTTATTTTGAAGAATGTCGTTCCGTCAACGTTAATGAACGCTTCGCAGATAGCTTACACCAGCTGTGGAATGTGCGATATTGACATTAGACCGGTCTGTTAATTCAATTGCTTGCAATCGAATTGTTCGCTATTAAGTTATTGTTTCTTTGAAAAAAGTACGTGCTCTGAATTGATGCGCACTTCAAAGAATATAACTTTTTTGGATATCTTGAATGTACTGTGGCAGTGAACACATTTGGCTTTCCGTTTGAAGTATATTTCACCAGAATTTTTGTGCTTTCAGACGCTATACAGTAATTTAATAGTGACCGGTGGTAACTCGCTGATAATGGGCTTCACGGAACGACTGAATTACGATCTGGCCAGGAAATGTCCACCGGTATAATTGACTGATTGATCGATTATCTTGTTTATTTTGACTTTAATTCGAACTCGCTTTGGATTTGAACTGATTCAGTTCATCTAACTGATGGATAGACGATTATTTTAAATTTCAGTGTTTGATAAGAGAATGTTATTGGAGTGATATATTTTAGACAATAAAACTTCGCGTCAATTCGGCCCCAACACCAATGGAGCGAAGATTTGGCGCATGGATCGGTGGATCTATTTTGGCATCGCTGGTAATTATTCACATTTCGTTTCTTTCCAATTACCTTCAGCAGCAGTGTTCACTTGAATAGTATCAATGAGGTATTGATCGCATGACACATGATAATAGCAAAATTTTAGGGTGCCTTCCAACAAATGTGGGTGAGTCGTGCTGAGTACGATGATACTGGCCGGACGTTAGTCGACAAAAAGTGCCCATAAATGAAGAATTGGCCCTAAACGAATACCTCATTTTCGTCATCCTATCGCATATTTTGTTCGATGTGTTATTTTTTCAAACTCGCCTTGTATTTCATTAAGTGATGCGTTATTATTACTGTTCCGTCTGATTATATCAGTATAATACCAAGTGGAAAATGAACTGAATACTGTCTGTTGAATAGTCTTGAACAGAGTGTTGTCTCCTCAGTAATCTGAAGAATCTTGGCTTCTGTCTATTTACTCATGAAATTTCTGATCTTTGGCAGCGTAAATTTTGATTTCATCATGAGTTTTCCACCTCACTTGACGCTAAGTTCATTTTGATAATGCTCAGTTAAGAACTGATAATATGATGTTGGTAGCATTCAGAGCCCTAATTAATCTGAATCAAATTGTACTTATTTCTTCGATCTCGTTGCTTATTCATGTTTCTTGCTCCCTATCTATTTGTTATGTTTTTGTTATATTCACTGCTGAATGTTATGAATTATCAGTTGATTTCAGTGCGTAATTTTCAATGTATTATTATGACGAGAACATTACAAACATTTGTCTGATCATTTATTAATAAAAAAGTTTTTGATTTCGGTAAATTGAATGAATATGAAGCACCTAATGTTAAATCAGAAACACCTCTTAATGAAATTGAAAAATTCGTTCTGTCATCTGATGGCATAGGGGAATTACTGCGGTGAATATGCAGCTGAATGGAAAAATTGTACCATCTATAATAGTTCTACCAAAGAACACACGCAGATCAAATGCATAAAGTTTGGTGGTATGATGAAATCGCTCAGCTACCGTTGACATCCTTCATAAATCAAACAATTTCTCTGAAATTAACTATATGCGGGCGGTATCTTCCGACAACATGTAAGTTTTCAGGATGCTAGGTAATCTGTTATATTGGATGGCTTGAAGAAATCGTTACGGCGATTAGTAAGAAAAAACAAAGATCGAAGAAATATTAACTGGATGGATGTGTCCAGGAATATAAAATTTGATAGATGATTGATTTTTTGGCGTAATTAAGAAATCAATTTACAGTAATTAACAAGTTAATCGTGTTTGTTCTTATCTGTTATTGAATGATTCAATGGGAATTTTCAACTATTAAATAGCATTAATAGGGTTTTTCCCATACAGATAATTGGAGCAATTGCAAATTTTG